GACGACCTCCGATTATTTTCTGTGAGGATACCTTACGGATCGTGTAGACATCAATAAACCGCAGGCAGTTCGGAAACTCAAACTACAAAAATTCGGTCTGCAAGCAGTGATAAACGATCGTTATGGGAGAATTCTTTTGCTGTCTTTGTGAAGACGAAAATGGAGGACGTTTACAATTTTTCAAGATTAAACGGAAATATATTCCCAATGTTTAAAAGGTCATTCTGTATGAAACTATTTTTGAATCATCAAAAGAGTTTAAATTCGAAAGAGTCTAGATTTTGAATCTCTCTGTGATTTCTTGAACCCATGGTAGATTCTGCAACGACACCAGCAGTTGGAAGACTCAATTTTGTATTCGTTATTCAGGCGTCAATAGATTTGATACTCACAGGGCGAATAGAGGGCAAGAGAGACAAGGGAAAGAAACGGGTGACATAGCTAGGCTTAAGCAAGTGAATGACAGAACAGGATCAGGACGGCGAAAAAATGCAACAGATTCATCCTTGTGCAAATTTATTGAAACAAAACAAATAATTCCGTTATTATTTACTTTTTTCGTATTTTTTCAATGAAACATGACCCAGTGAACATGTTAGTACATCGTATGTCCATTCCACAAAGTCGTTCCTTGCAGATTGATCACATATTTTCGAATGGATTTAAATCAGAAGAGTTTCCGGGCCAGCCTATAATACTTTGATTCGCTCACTGGTAACGCTTGTCAGTGTGTTTGTGCAGCGTTACAATTTTCGTACGCTACCTTGGAGTAACGTCCATCGCAGACAATGGCCGTAGGACAACTAATCGCCAGCCAATACTATAATGTCTGGGCGTGATGAAAATCTGATGCAATTTACAGATGACGTAGTATTTTTCAAGGCCAAGCAAATTTCATCATACAACCCGAAAACAGATTCATATTACTGTACACAACTTCAAATGAACTAATCAGAGGAAAAAAACATAGAAATCGATTGCTCCCTGCCACTTCAGTGGGTCTAAATGTGATCGTATGATGAAAGAAAAGAAACTAGAGCGGATGTTTCAATTAATTTGCACACGTGTGTATATTGACAAATATAAGTAGCTTAGTTGTTTTGATTTCAAACTAACAGTTTTACTAAGTTTAGCTTGGAAAATGTTTCTACGAACAACCATATCTGCTGGCATTTTATTTTTCCATTGCCTTTTTAAGGCAATGGATAATATAAAATGCCAGCAGATATTTTTTACCAATCGTAAGTGTCCATTGCAAAGCTATAGCTGAAAATATACCCATTTCTAAATGCAAAAATGAGACTGGATTTAAACTTTTTTTTTGAGCTTCATGTTCAAATTTAAATCCGAATTCAGTATTAGATTCAACTAATTATAATAAATGATATAAGATCATAAGAATCTTGAAAAATAATATGCATCGATTACACTTTGTCAAAAATTTTTTAATTTTATGTTTGGTCTGTAAGTATTATTTTTTCATAGTTTATATCAAGAAAGCAAATGAAATAACTATCATTCTATTCAAGATTTTCTATTGTGATATGTATATCGACATTTTGAAACTAACCTATTTTCCATTACATTCAGCGCTGAGTTGCTGAAGGAGAATTTCCGAGAACTCTTAAGAACTTTCGAGAATCTTCTAAATGTTTCAAGAATTTCTAGGAAGTTCTGCCAACATAGATAGCCGTATAATACAGGAAACATAAGCTCGACAGTTCAGCATAATTCTAGCAGTTCAAATACAGACGAGTCGTCGCTGACTTTTAAATTTCTTGCAATCCCTCTTGTGTAATCCTAAAATAAATAAATGCATCTTTCGAGTCATACTTCGTTTTGTTTAACTTTGTGTGAACGAGAATGTTCACATTCGCCACTTTTCCAAATGGGAATAGGTAAATTTCAGAAATATCATCATCTTGGTCATTTGGAGAAGGAAGAGACAAAATTAAACTAGACGGAAGGATGGTAAGCAGAAAGAAAGGAAACACAAAATGCAAAGGAAAATCAAGCAAAGAAGATGAAAGTGGACGAGGAAGAGAGAAAACAAAGGTGATGAAGAGTAGGAGACAAAGCAGTACAGACGGTAGGAGGAGTCGGAGAAGGAAACGAAACGTAGAATGAAGAGGAGAACAAAAAGAAGATAAAAAAGGAGGAGGCCAAAATAGATAATGGAACATGAAGAAGAGAGAAAACAAATAAAGATAGGAGAGGAGGATGAGAGATAAAGGAAGAAGATGGAAGAGGAGGAGGATGAGGAGGAGAAAAATAAATAGAATAAAAGAGATGGAGGAGGAGGAGGAGGAGGAGGAGGAGAAGAAACAGAAAATATCAGGGAGTAGGAGGAGGATAACTAAAAAAAAATGAAAGAGTAAGAAGAGTTGAAACAATAAGAATGAGGAAAAGGCAAAATACTTAAATTCAAATATAAATTAAATAAAAATAAACCTAATTAATTTCAAGGGAAGTTATTTTTTTTCCTTTTTTGACAGCTATAATGGTATTCATCTGAGAATTGCCTGCAACATTTTTTCTTCCACCCTCTCGTCATTCTATACTTTCTCCGCAAAAACGCCAGAAGGGGAACGACAAGTATATAAATATTAAAACAATGTCTGGCATAAGATAATGATTCTTTTTTTTTAAAAATTTACTTCCTCGTTCACTAAAACCTCCATGATCCTTAACATGGCGATTATGAAATGACATTCTGTGGTTGCTTCTGTGTGGGTCCCATAGAGCGACACAGGCGGGCCTGGACCCCTGGGTGCAGTACGGCAACTAAAATCTCCTTTTCCTATTGTACGCACGCAACCCCATTCTATAGCGATATTCTTTTAAATTCACAAACCCTTTTCTAAAACTGATACCCGCAGAATTCAGAATTTTTTTTTTAAATAGTGGCTGAACTGTTTTCATGAATGGGATGTTAAAGTGTTTTATTTGAGAAAAAATAGCCGCAAGATCTAGCCAGAATTATTTTCGAAAATGAACTATTTCTTTATAAGATTTCAAATTTCCTGGGTTTGAAATGGTTAAAAAATTTTTGTCATTTCCCTTCATTTATCTTTCTCTCCCTCTCTTCATCTCCATACATACATATATATATATATATATATATATATATATATATATATATATATATATATATATATATACATATAAATATAGATAACTAGACTCGTTTTGAAAAACCCTCAATTTTGATTTGCTAATCAAATCAATCTCTCTCTCTCTCTCTATATATATATATATATATATATATATAGAGAGATTTATATATATATATATATATATATATATATATATATATATATATATATATATATATATATATATATATATATATATATATATATATATATATATATATATATATATATATATATATATATATATATATATATATATATATATATATATATATAAATTCCCAAGGATAGAATCCAAGTAGAACTCAATGTCCAGGACATAGTAAGAATATAATATAAAAGGCTCAAAACCTAATATTCCCTGATTATAATTTATTACATTGGAATCGTAATCACAATCCAATTCAGCAGACGTACAAATTCAAAAGTACCCGGAGTTATATTTTCCGATTTCTTTTTTAATTTAAGTGATATATATATATATAAATATAAGTGACAATATCTTATGCTAGCCAAGAGTCTGGCATCAAAATTAATCTATCATCTGTGCCTTGAGATGGTTAAAAAGATAAGACTCTTGAACGTTTCTTAATTTATTGAATATTATATTTCTAGATATCCATTGAGTGATTTTGTCAGAATTTCTAATAACCTAAGAAAAAAAAAATTAAAATCCTCGTCATAGAAACGGCCGGAAGCGATTGGGACAATAAAAATTATGTACACTTTTTAGATTTCTTCACTTCTACAAAAAGGAAAAAATGTTAGGATGCTGCAAAAACGGTTAAAAAAATTAAATCTTCTTTGTCAACCACATTCAATGAAGATTGGCCTGAACATTGTATTCAAACATGAAAATTTCATCTCTCGATGTTAATTTCAATAACCACTTTTATATTTACATACACTCTGTCGCTGATATTGAGCACGTTAACCCATAAATATATCATACATTAAACATTAAAACTATATATATATATATATATATATATATATATATATATATATATATATATATATATTATAATAACAAAAAGAAAGAACAGTAATTAAGAAACCAATAAAACACCTAAAGTAAAATGGAAATTAATAAGAAAAGATAGAATATGTAGGGCATTAAATGACCCATGTCCTTTATGCATACATGAGAAACTATATATTACTAAGTTTACAAAAAATCAAAATTTACTGTATCAAAGAAATGAAATAGTTATTCTTTGCCGACATTGTCAAAAATTTTCCTAAAAATTAAAAATGGGAGCTGGTAATATGCATAATTATAATTGATATGTAATAATAATTTTTAAATAATTTAAGTAATTCTATTATTTTTAGTTGATTTAAAAAGAAATATAGTCTATTAATAATCAAGAGTAAAAATAATATTTTAAAATTGTAGTTCAATATAACGTATTCAAATCCAAACACACCTTTTAGAAAGAATATTTAAATATACAAGTACGAATTTAACGGAAAAAATGCCGAAAAACTTTTTGTCATTAATAAAAAAAAACAAAAAAACAACAACAAAACAGACGACATGCGATGAACGGATGTCAAAATTCGTTGAAAAATGCACCACTAACCTCCCTAAACTTAACTGCTTTTTCCAACGTAACTCAAAATTGATACAACAATAGTTAATAAAAATGAACACGCTACCGACTCTGTCTAAATGATTGGATTTCTCTGTATCCTTGGAAACAAGACATTATGAATTATATGTGCGTTTAAACTCAGTAAATTTAAAAATAAGTTATTCAAAAATTCGCTTGAGGAGGAAACAGAATTAATGCTTTTGATTTAATTATATAATTAAATTTGAAGTTTTTAGCTTCGGTTTTTGAAACATGGTAATTCCTGTGTAGCGAAGAAACTATATTTTTAATCAATTAATATATATATATATTGGTGAGTCAGTCGATGTCGGACATTAAAGTATCAACCACCACAACTAGATTGCTGCGTCATTAACAATTATTTCAAGTTCCTAACGTTTTGTACGTCGAAACTTTTTTCAGGACCGACTTTGTGAAATACAAGCCTCCACTGTGAAAACTACTCTACAACATTTAGACAGAAAAGCATAAATGGTAACTATAATAAACTGAATTTCTCTTTCCAAAATTTAAAGTTTCATTTCCATCTTAATTTTCTATTCTAAGAAATGTAGATAACTTGAAGTAATAAATTCTAAAATTAAATTATCTCTAAAGCATAAGATCGAATTACTTCTGAGAAAAGCTAAAATTCCTAATAAACAGTCATGAAACAGTCTGTCGCCTCTGAATGTTAACTTCAATGTCCCCTTTTATATTTACATACGCTCAACCTTGGATATTGAGCACTTTAACCCATAAATATAGAATACTTTTTATCTATATTTTATCATATATATATATATAATTCTGTGTACGTGTGTGCGCACGTGCGTTGTTAAGATAAGTGCTAAATATATAGGCTCTGGCTACTGGAAACAGTTCTGCGTGGTGGCTGTCATTTTTAGCCTTAAGCGAACACGAGGCTAAATCTTTGCCTGAAGATAGCTTGAAGCTTGAAACTGACAATCATTATTCAGGGTTGATTCCTATATCCAAAATATGTAGTATAATAATATTATTGATATGTTGATGAACATTTTATACACCAAATGATTGTATTGCCGCATATATCATCGATAACAACGTGGCGTTGGTTGCAAGGTCTGGGTAATTTTTGAGCTTAGGGTGCTAGGGTAAAAAAAAAGACAGATATTGAGCTCCACACTTTAAACCGGTCCGTTACCGTGGAAGGGCGCGATTAATTACCAACATCTCCTTATCTCTAATGGCAATGGCGGAGTAATGGATAGCGGCTCGAACTGAGGAATCAGAGAGCCGAGTTCGAATTCTAGTCAAAATCCACTACATTCACTTACGGGCTAAAAGCCTTGGGAAAGTTATGAATCTTCATCTCCCCCCCCCAGCTATGGATAAATAGCAGGGTAGATTATAGCCATGCATGGCATCAGGTCTACCGGGAAAAAATCTACTCGTCAGTCATGTATTGAAAGATACATGATCGCATAAGCGTGTATCACTCATGACACATAACTGACTGATAATAATTGAGTTACGCTTTTCTTCACTCTCTGGCCATCGGATAGGGATCAAAGTGTAGTATCTGTTCTCTTAATCTATAAAGATAATGGTAATATTAAACATTCATTCGGTTGCAAATCATAAAACTGAAACATTTTTTTAGCAAAACTGTTTTTCCAAGTCCATAGTTCTTTCCAGTATTGATGGCTTGAAGCATATGTATAAAGTCAAGGTACGGTAGAGCCAATTAACATTATATTTATATACAGTCATATTATGTCTCATGGTACGTCATTGTATACGAAGATATTTGCTTGTACGTGTGTTTATATACACGTGTTTGCATAAAAAGTTATATACTCTTTTATCTCCCAGAAATATATGCGTGAGTTTGGATATAACTTCACATATTTTAACAACACTGCATATTCTCGATTTACCTATGGAGCCACGGTGGCAGTATATGACCCATGGCCGGTTTCATGTGTGTTGCCCATCTCTATGTATATTGGCCAAGAGCAAAAATTACTCAATTACCGCGACCTTTGTCACGTATGCTTCAGAATTCAACGAACATCCTTTTCTGGTGTAATGGGAGAGACGTTGACACAGTAGTGGGAGCCATGAAAGTACGTCTCATTCAATGGTTTACACTGAATTTCCCGTAAGGAAAAAAACACGGCTTAGGAGGAATAGATGCATGTATTTCGATCCAGCCTGAAGGTCGGGCAGCTACGCACTAATCACAGGTGGAAGAGCCCAGAGCAATATTCGGAGACTGTATATCAAATGCTCATTCTAGAGAGAGGTTTTGGCCTAAATGCAAATAATTCCACAGTCGCCACTACACGTACGCATGCACACAAAACACACACACGCATACATACATAGGCACATAAGTATTCATACAGACATTTCTTTCATTCTTATTATTTCTCTCTCTGTCTCTCAATCTCTCTCTTTCTCTCTCTCTCTCTATATATATATATATATCTACATATACACATATATATATATATATATATATATACACACATACACATATTTATACACGTATATATATATATATATATATATATAGACACACACACACACACATATATATATATATACACACATATATATATATATATATATATATATATATACACACACACATATATATGAACCTATATATATACACACATATGTACGTATATATACAGACACACATATATATACGTATATATACACACACATATATATGTGTATATTTACACATACGTATATATACGTATATATATACACATGCACACACAGATATATATATATACGTATATATATATATATATATATATATATATATATCTACACACAGATATATACGTATATATATATATATATATACGTATATATACACATACATATACGTATATATACACACAAACACACACATATATATATACACACATACATATATATGTACGTATATTTTTATACACACATATATATACATATATATAAGTATATCTAAATCTATCGATCTATCTATCTATCTATCTATCTATCTATCTATATATATATATATATATATATATATATATATATATATATATATATATATATATATATGTTTAATGGAATTCAGCTCGTGAACGACTAAGTTCATCTCTTGTCCTCAAACTTTCTTAATTTTTCACACATTCTACATATCATTATTTCGTCGCTGATGACATTTGTATTGGATTTTAAAAAAATTTTCTTGCAATTCTTCCCATAGTGCTACATACATACATATGTATTTGTTGGGGATTTCGATGTGTGGGTAAACGTTATATAAATTTTCATATATAAGAACAATTGTATGAAGATCCCCGACAATGTAGAAAAGCAATTTCGTGTATCGCGTTTCAACCTTCAGGATTTCATTGGACTAAAGTATGAAACAAAAGCAAAAAATAAATAAACGAAATTGATTGGATTATATACCAAAAGATATATTTGAAAGAAAAGTTATTTTCAGCGTCCCCTCTCCTTCACACGTTTGTGTAATTACTTCAGCGTAACGTAACTTTAGGCAACTTAGAAATATAATTGTAAATTTTCCACTGTTTTATCCGTTTAGAATTAGGAGTAAACCAAGAATTATCTTATATTTTAATCCTTTCAACACTAGCAAGGCAATATAGCCACTAAGACGCAAGATGTTACCGACTGTGAGAGAATATGAAAAAACAATATTATTAAGGACAGAGAACAATAGAAGGATTGTAATTAAAAAGACAAAGGATAGCGACTGATATTGCATTTCAATTTTTGAAGATCAAAGTTGACTAGAATGTAAGAAGCCTACATTTTTCAGGTGGGGGTTTACTCACTGTAGCCATTACATATTAGGTCATATTCATTGTTTCAAAATTCCTGCTCACAATATATGAAAAGGGTGTATTTAACGAAATCTTGCCTATTTAATTGACGGAACAAAGTTGTTGATATCTGGTGGGGTTGAAAGAAACAAACATGAATTTTAGACAGTTTCTCTGAAATTCCAATCCTGATAAACAATATCGTATTCGAAAATTTGAAAAATAATTAAAGAAATTAAAGAGATGAATCTTGTCGGTTGAATTTAATAAAGCCTGCATATATATATATATATATATATATATATATATATATATATATATATATATATATATATATATATATATAAAGGTGAATGGTCAGAGTTGAATCAGACTAGGAAACAGTAGTAATAAAATATGCTCATTACACGCGTGAAAAATAAAATAAATATAACATGTATGACTTTTAACTTTAAAAATCAGGCGAGCACTTGAATCCGATATCTTAGCGCATAAAACTGATCTCCTGATTTTTAAAGCCCATATATATATATATATATATATATATATATATATGAAAGAAAAATACAAAAAAAAAAAAAATCTGAATATGCATTTATGTAGTATTAATGTTAAAATAAAGTCGACGTCGGACGTTTCGGTCTATTTAAGACCATCTTCATGGACATTTCATTTAAACATAATTAACATTATAACTTATAAAAATTTTAACACAAAAGACGATGGACATAAGAGCCCAACTAATTCAAACAGATAACTGACATTTTATACAGATCAGCGTTCTGTTTAAATATGATCACGTAGTCGTCACGTGGGCGATGTTGGTAAAACGTATTCGAAGATGATTTCAAAAATTAAAATATTAAAAAGTCGATTGAAAAATTTTTATAAACAGTTCAAGAAATCTCTTTCATACTGTCGGATTTATATCCATATATTTGCTTACATATATATATATATATATATATATATATATATATATATATATATATATATATATATATGTTATCCACAGACAGACTGTTTCGCTGTATCACAGCTCATCAGCGTAAGCTAGACGTCCGGTTGCCTCAAGCTAGGATCGAATCCCGGCTGAATTGTCATCAGTTATAGATTCTAGACCTTAGCCGTTAGCGCACGGCAGAGAAGAAGGTGAATTTAAGCGTATTTATTTTTAGATAAACACACCGAGAGAACTCGATTCGATTTACCGATAAGTCATGCATTATTAGCCGTAATAGTCACTGTTTACAAACCCACACTTCCTCTCCACAGAGCTCAACCGAAATGAATTTTTCATGAGCATATATCTTTTTGCGACAGAATATATACACGGTGTGGACACAAGAATATTTTCATGTCACAGTGCGATATTTTGACCAATGATTCATACATACGCACTGCTTATATAAAGCATTGA